ATTCTTTACATATAGTTATTGTTCAGTAAAAACATGTATATGTTATTTGAAATAGAAAATGAAAGTTGTCACAGCAACCACTACGTATAAAGTGAAGTACGTCTAAGGTATTTAAACATACCTCTGTGGTCTAGTATAACTATTTTTCAAAATGTTTTCTTGATATTGGATACTTTGCAGTAAAATCTGGCAAAAACAGTGAAAAAAATGGAAGAGATATCCATTATAAGATTAAAAGTTTCAGCGGGCAAAAGATTGGTCAAATCAAAAGATTATTTGACAACTGTTGTCATTTAAATTTATGAAATATGAATCCACAGTAATTCCTTTTTGTTTTTTGTATTTTGTGGTAAAATCAATTAATGCAATTTTTCAAATTTAACTGTTTAAAGACATTATTGAGACCTCAGTACTCTGAACTGACAGAATTAAACTAATACTATATCTTCCTTAATGCTACAAAAAAAAAATATGTTGATATTGGTCAGTGTTGGCGTTTCCTTGACACAGTAAGGAGATTCTTTTAGCACTATTGTCATCTGCAATTTCCTGAGATGATTGCTCTGATATGACTCACTTTTCATCCTTCTTAATCATTATGATATCCTTATCCTTTTTGCCTTTGCTTCTAAATTCTTCGGTTTACTTTATCAGTTATATCCAAGTCTCCATCTTGTACTACTTTCCAAAAAACTCTAATGGCCCCTTATGGCATGATAATAATGCATGAGCCTATAAGATGTCATCCTTTTCCAGGTATCTCCTCATTATTGTAAATTCCATTTCCAACTTCATATTTAGACATTACTCTACAAGCACTTCAGTTATTTTCCTTCTGTTTGTCTAATACTCTCTGTATTTCTTTAACTTCACATAAAGTTTCTTCATAATCTTTCTTGCGCATTATAGGACATAGCTTCAATCAGCTATTAGTGCTTTTCTTCACAGCTCACGTGTTATAAGATCCTGGAGCACAGCTTATATATAATGACTGAATTAGTTATTTCCTCTGCTAAGAATTTTGTATACAACTTCACAAGAAAAAAGAGTGTTAAAAGTAGTATTGTCTTGTAAAAGCCACATCCCATCATTTTTTTCCTATTTGAAATACTACCCTCTCCTCACTCAAATTAGTCCTCTTATTTGAGGTTCATAAAAATGCTTGTGCCATAAGAACTGTATTTTAGATCTTCCAGAATGTCCTAAGAACAATGATGCGCACACAGAGAAATCCAGTTCTCCCCACTCTCTAAAACTTGGATAGGGTTTGTATGCAGCTGGATTCCCACAGAAACTCATTTGGCAGCTTGGTTTCCCTTGAAGAGCCATCTCATTTGTAATATATGTTACTGCATACATTGCAGATAAAGCAGCAAGGTGTCTGTGGTGAGACTCCAGATATGCAGATATTTTCTGGTCTAGTTCAAATCAAGCCATTGTTACAGGACCTTCTGTTTAAAATGAACTGGATAGTCTCGGGATGGTTCTTCGCAGGCAAGTGTCTACTATTCAAACGTCGTAGCTCCTTTTTGCAATACTTTGATAATCTCAGCCGGAAAGGTCCAAGCCGAATGGAAATGCTTCATGTTTTTAGGTCTGACCTTTCAAATCAAGGTTAAGGTCTGTTGTTTGATATTCGAAGGAAATGATGCTGCTGCTGCAGCTTTTCTGGAGAAGAGTAAAGCAGGCCAGCTCTCCAGGCTGCTAGTACTGTTACCTTTCATAGGCTTTAAACATCTTTAAAAGATGCTAAAGAGTGTTAGAGTTTACTTTGCAGCTGTAATACTATAATGAGAGACTGTAATATTCATCACACAGTTTGGTAAAATTCTTTCACTGATTAATCTTTTCTAAAATAGAGTAGGAAAATATTTTAAGTTGCAGTCACTGACTGAATTTCACAGCTGATGTTGGGCAGAGAGATATGATACTTTATATAAGTTCATGCAAACATTATATTTGGATTCTAATTCCCAAGAGATTTATCTGCTGTTCTGCTTTGCAATTCTAGCTTTCCTTCAGAAAAAGCCCTGAACCTCAGCTGAAATTTCTGAACTTTAGCATTTTCCAGTCAAAATATTAGCTCTAGCATGACTTTGATATTAAATCAGAAACTTATCACACATCATTTAAAGGATGTGGGAAACAGATGGCTTTTCTTTAACATAGTATTTCTTTAACATAGTATTCTTTTCTAGTATGTGAGGGAACCAAATCTAAACAAGCTCACTCTAGATTTTGTTCTGTTTTGCTGCAAATATTTGTATAGCTCCCACTGCAAGTTTTCTGTGAACCAAAGAAGCTAAATTCATTTAGAGAAAAGGATCACTTTTACGGCTGATTATGATACATGAAGGATGATATATATGTATAAACAGAGATATATAATGCACAATAGAACCTGCTTACTTAAATAGAAAATATAGCTAGATGTAGGAACTAAGTTTATAGCTATTAGAACTGATTTAAAAAAAGCATTCTATAGAAAAATGCAGTCCTGTTAAAATAGGTTATTTTTCAGTATTGTTTTTCAATTCAGTGTTTTTTTGTAGTAAAAGGTCTAAGTATGTTTTTTGAACTATCTATTCAAATAAAGTCAAAGTTGTGGCATAGCCCTATGACCCCTATATAGGTCAAAGGGTCGCTATATGTTTACACTACTGTCCTAACAGTATATACATTTAACATAAGAGATTGTATTCAATACATTATAGTATTCTGACTTCATCAGAGGAAAATGTATTGCTAGGTTTGAATATTTTTTTAAAAACACTTTTTTCATAGGAATTTCCAAACTTTGTTGTTTGCATTTCAGGTTGGGAAAAAAACTTGAGGTAGCTTTTTCCATAAAAATCAATCTTTTTTTCATTTTTTCATTTTCCTGCTTTCCATGATATTGTCAATGAAAGCGCCACTAGATGTTAAAGTTGACCCTCTAGTGAATAATTAATATCAAGTCAAATTGCCTTCAGACTTAGATCACACCCTTTAATTGAAGACTGGCAAACACGTTATCATCAGCTGCAAGATCTAGCAACATATTCCTTTTTATGATGATTATCTTTCATAATAAATGAGATACTAGATATTTAAGGTAAGGTCATATATTTCACTCAGTGCTGTGACAGAGTATTTCTCAATACACAGAAAAATCTGCTTTGTGATATCTATTGCACTTGGTTAACTGTATTGTTGCACACGTTCAGCAACAGAGCTGAATTTTTCACAGTGTTGAAATTAATGTTTTTAAATAGTGGAACTCTTCACTAAAACTCTGGATGAATGACCTGGGCAAACTTATTTGGTTCTACCTCTGATACTGCATAGAAAAAACCTTGCGATCTACCCTCTTTGGTGATCCACCAAACATTCCTTCTGCAAAGTGCCGAGGGACTGATCTTTTTCTAGAGAGGTTGCTCAATGTGCATGATAAGAAGGAGCTGTTTTCTCTCCTTCTCAGTAGATTTTGTTGCTCCTCCTCCTTGTCCGTCCGCTTGCATTGTACTCACAGAGCTAATTTTCACAAATTCCAGGCAAGAGCATTGAATCAATAAATCCACACAAAATAGCAGTCTATTCTTCTGTCTAAGCACAGCAGCCAAGAAGACAAATTCATTCTAGCAGGTTTTTCAGACAATGTGATTGACTTTCGCTGACTCTTCCCTTAATGCATTTTTTCGAAAATACAGGAAGGAGATTTGAGTAGATACAGTAAGTTCACAAAGTGCAGCTTTCAACCTGCTTTTAGGGAAAAGAGTATTTTTAACATAAGCACCAAAAAAGTTGTTCTTTTTAAAAATGCAGAACTTACCATGATTCTCTGCGGCTTCTTATTAAACTCTAGCTTAACAAGGAGGATATCACCATGACTAAAATATTCATCCTCCATCGTAGTCCCTTTGGAAAAAAAAAAAAAAGAATCACTAGTTTATTCATCTTTGCTAATAATACAAAGAGGGAAGAAGTACCTAAACAATGAATAATAATGCAGAAACTCAGACTGTAAAATCAATATGTCAGCTCAGTAGAGCTGGGTTTCTTTCTAATGCTGCTGCTCCAGCACAGTAGACCTTACCTTCTAAATTATATATGTATTGACCTAATTACATAAATATTGACTTTGCTTTATATGAAGCCTTTTTCAGTCTCAGTGTAATTACAATGTCAATATTTGTTGCATGTAATAACATTGAATTTAGACTTGTTAATTTTGATTGATAATGGCATGCCACAAGTTATTACATGGGATAAGACAGTTAGTCTAGAAATATGCACAGAAAACACAAGCAACTGATAATGCTGCCAAAGCTGAATGTATCTCCAAGACCTTCTATTTCCAGTTGTTTAACAGGGCACAGGAATTAAAATGGGTGATTACATCCTTGATCCATACAAAGCATTTTTTTGAGATGGAGGAGCATTTATCCCAGTCCTTGAACATACAATATTCAGCTGGGACCTTGGTAGAAGATTTCCTATTTAAAGTTAGACTTACATTTTTGCTAGTATGTTGTAAACTCTGCTTAAGCAGTGTCAAAATAGATGTTGTATATAGTAACAAGTATACTTTGCTGCGTACCTTATATCAGGTATACATTGTTTTTGAATAATATCAGGAGCCGGACACAAGCAATTTCTTATTAAATTGCTTTCTTTTTTCTTCAAATTCACGAAAGATATGAGTACTGGACATTTAGGTACTACTGAGACTTGCAAAACTGTTCAATCTGCAAATGTTTGCTGAGATATATTTCTACAAGAACTGCTTTGTTCAGAGCTGGCAGTCCTCTGAATTGCTTTCAATGATGAATAGTCATATAGTATAGTGTGTGTTTCTAGATGCAATTACAAAGGATTTTGAATTTGGCAGTAACATGAGAATCAGAAACCAAATTGTGACAGTCTGCGTGCTGAGGATATTTAAATTTGTTCTAGCTATAGCACGTTGCCAGTAGTGACAAGGCATGTATCATACTGTATTTTCTTATTTGTCTCAGCAGGGATGCCAGACAAGACGAACCTCAGTGACGTAAAGAAAATCCATCAAACCAGCGATGGCAGCACTTTAGACACGACTGGAGCAGGATGTACAACAATGCCTGATTATATGACATTTATGCTGATTAGTTTGGTAACACTATTTCTCAGTCTTTGGTAACTGTGTAGCTCTGTCTTGATATATGTGTCTCATTGTCATCTGTTTGTCCCCACTCAGAAACCTAGAATAAGGGATCTGGTGGACAGAGCAATGCTGATGATAGCTTGTGTAATATCAGCCTCTCTGATCTTAGGCCTGAATATTAACAAAATCGTGTAATATATTTCCTATTTTTTAACACCTGTATAGTTATGAAAAATTATGTTTCTTCTCAAAATATTTTATGTTAGAAAAAAGTTGACTTTGATAATCTTTATATTCAAAGAAATTTGAAAAAAGAGAGATCACAAAATCTCAGAATGACTGAGAGTGGAAGGGACCTCTGGCAATTGTCTAGTCCGAACCTGTGCTCCAAGTGGAGTGAGTCAGCTACAGCAGATTGCTCAGGGCTGTGCTCAGTTCAGTTTCAAATATCTCCAAGGATGGAGGCTCCACAATTTCTCTGGACTGTTCAACCATCCTCATAGCAAAAATGTTTTTTTTCTCATTTCTAAATAGAATTTTCTGCATTTGAATTTGTGCCCATGGCTTCTTGTCCCTTCACAGGGCATCACAGAGAAGAGTCTGGCCCCATCTTCTTCACTTCCTCCCATCAGATATTTATATACACTGAGCCTTTATTCCCCCTTGAGCCTTCTCTTCTCAAGGTTAAATAGTTGCAGTTCTCTCAGCCTCTTTGTGTATGAGAGATGCTCCCGTTCCTTAACCATCTTTACGGCCCTTTGTGTAACTCATGTGTGGCCCTTTGTGGACTCGCTCCAGTATGTCCATGTCTTTCTTGTACTGAGGAGCCCAGAACTGGACCCAGCATTCCAGATGTGGCCTCACCAGTGCTGAGTAGAAGGCAACAACCATCTCTCTCGACCTGCTGGCAACGTTCTACTATAAGGGCACATTGATGGCTCATGCTCAACTTGTTGTCCATCAGGACTCCCAGATTCTTTTCTGCCAACTTGCTTTCCAGTTAGTTGGCCCCCAGTCTGCACTGGTGCATGGATTTATTCATACCCAGCTGCAGAACTTTACGCTTCCCTTTGTTGAAATTCATCAGGTTCTTCCCTGCCCATTTCTCCAGCCAGTCGAGGTCCCTCTGAATGTCAGTGCAACCATCTGGTTTATCAGTCACTTCTCCCAGGTTGTGTCATCACTGAACTTGCTGAGGGTGCCTTCAGTCCCACCATCCAAGTCTTTAATGAAAACATTAAACAGTATTGGCCCCAGTATGAATCCCTGAGGATCATCACAAGTGACTAGCCTCCAGCTGGACTCGTGCTGCTGATCACAACCCTACATACAATTGATATCAGCTATTGATACAACTGCTCTGCCCTTTTCATGCCTATCTTCAGACAAGGTAGGATTAAATTCTGGATTAAGATATCTCTAGCCATATGTTTACATATAGGTGTTTACATATGAGCTAGATGTCTAAGCTGTTGTTGCAGTCAGTGGAAATACAGAGCAACATTCAGTTACCAAACCACAAGCAACTAGTTGAGTAAGCAAACCCACCTGATCTCCAGCTACTGCAACAAAAAAGCTTAGTCTTTCGGTGGACCACTGAACTAAGCCCTTTGTCAATACAGTCAATGAAGCCTGGTGAGTTATTCAGCTCGTATTAAAGCAGACATCTAAATATTCATTTGCCCCCAAAATAAATGTCTGGTGCCATCAGAGATTTCACAGAATCACAGAGTGGTTGAGGTTGGAAGGGACCTCTGGAGATGATCTAGTCCAACTCCCCTGCTCAAGCATGATCCTCTAGAGCACATTGCACAGGATTGCGTATCTCCAGTGAAGGAGACTCCACAGCCTCTCTGGGTAACCTGTCCCAGGGCTCTGTCACCCTCACAGGAGAAAAGCCTTTCCTCATGTTCAGATGGAACTTCCTGTGCTTCAGTTGGTGCCCGTTGCTTCTTATCCTGTCACTAGGCACCATGGAGAAGAGTCTGGCCTCATCCTCTTGACACCCTCCCTTCAGATGCTTACACAAGTTGATGAGATCCCCTCCCACCGCAGTCTTCTCTTCTCCAGGCTGAACAGGCCCAGCTCTTGCAGTCTTTCTTCATAGGAGAGGTGCTCCAGCCCCCTAATCATCTTGGTAGCCCTCCGCTGGACTCTCTCCAGGAGTGCCATGTCTCTCTTGTCCTGGGGAGCCCACAACTGGACACAGTACTCCAGGTGAGGCCTCACCAGGGCTGAGGAGAGGGGCAGGATCACCTCCCTCCACCTGCTGGCAACACT